GTAGATACTTTTCTCCAGTAGTTTTGTAGGAGTATAAAGAATGTTAAGGTCTTCCTCAAGATGCAGTCTTAGGTCAGGTTCTCTAAAAGCAGAACCTGAAACAGGGATTTTAATGCATGTGATTTTTTGAAGGAGAGTTCTCTGGAGAAACCTATTAGATAGGAAGTGAAGGAGGATAGGGAAAAGAGAAGAGAGCCAAGCAAAGATGTGTGCTCAGAGAAAATCCAGCCTTGATCTGATCCCATAAGGAACTCTGGAGCCACACCTCAGAGTTACCTTCCCTTTTAAGGCAGTCTTCTGTACCCCGTGTCAGTCCTTACGGCTGTAGGCATTGGGTGGGGTGGTGGTGGTGGTGGTAATTACTTCCTGAAGGTTTCCATCAATGTAGAGCAGTTTTTCTCAACCATGGGCAATTTTGTTCCCTAGGGGACATTTGGCAAAGTCTGGAGATATCTGTGGTTGTCCCATGATGGGGACTGATGAGAGAGATTAGAGGGGAGGGATGTTGCTAAATATCCTAAAATGCATAGCACAGCCTCCTACAACAAAGAATTATTCTGTATAAAATACTGAGGTAGAGAAACCCTGGGCTAGGGCAATTCTTTAGAGAAGGAATCAGCAGCAAGCCATTAACAACATTCATTGCTAATGACAGATAGGTGCTTTGGTTCCATAAAGGACATCTGCATAGGGCGGATCAAAATAGCACCTCTGCAGATGTCTTTTAGAAATAGGATGTTAAATAACGAAGGAAGCTGCAAATACTATTCAGTTAGCATTCCTATGTGATCTGATCCTGCATTTCATCTAAAGGGATAGGACTGGCATCTTGGAATATATGTTGCTAAGCCCTTCGGTACATTGCACAGAAATGTCAAAAAACGTACTGGTGTCAGCTGTAGTCATTTTGGATTTTCTCCAGAGCTTTATTGAGTTTGTGTAAAATTGGAATTGGACTAAATCCTACCTGAAATAGCATTACTGTGCCACATTAGTGCTAACACTGTGTTCCTTAGCAAGCTTAGTTCTGACAGTTGCAACTGAGTATGCTGAAGGATTGGGGCAAGGAACAAAAATAGCTGCGCTTAAATATAAAGGGGTTTGAAAACTGTTGGAGATATCACCAGTGTCAGACTCATGGTCTGCCTACTCTATATTCTGTTAGGACCATCCCTTAAACCTCTTTTAGAGTCCCTTATTTATCTGTCAGTTAACTAGGAATTCATCCACCCCCTCTTATAAGCAGTTTATAGCGTGGAATTGCAAAACTCAAGGGTACCTACTCCTATCGTATTTACTACTGTTACATAAATTTTTTTTTCAAACTTCAAAATGTGTTATCTAATTCATATTCCAAGTTTTAAATTTTATTCTAGGTTCGTGATCTATGTTTATGATCCTAGTATTAATTTCATTTTTTCTCTCTCTCAAATGAATCATCACCTTATTCAATTCTGTGTTTAGAGTTACAATACTAATTCTAATAAATAAGAAAGGTATGGGCCGGCCCGTGGCTCACTCGGTAGAGTGCGGTGCTGATAACACCAAGGCCCCGGGTTCGGATCCCACATAGGGATGGCCGGTTCGCTCACTGGCTGAGCGTGGTGCTGACAACACCAAGTCAAGGGTTAAGATCCCCTCACCGGTCATCTTTAAAAAAAAAAAAAAAGAAAGGTATGATTATGGTTAAACATATTCTTGACAAAAAATGTAGTCAAATGGAAATATTGTAATGCTACCTTAAGTGAAAAAAGTAAAATATAGAATATGACACCATTTTTGTTTAAAAATCTTCCTAAACTTTTATAAATAGAGTAAGAGTCTAAAAAGATGTATATCAAAATAACAACAGTGGTTAAGGTGAAGTTTGCAAGTTCCACCTCCCAAACATGGCTCAGAGAATAGAGTTATAAATGGTTCATTGGGGAAGCTATTTTCCAACACTGGTTAAAACTGTTCTCTGAGAGGATATTGTTTCAATTGCCTATACACATGCCACCTTCTGGAAACAAGGAGTATTTCACCATTAAAAGACTAACAATACAACTTGGTAACAAAGCTGAATTTGGAATTGTTAATAAAAACTATTTTATAAATTTAACATTTAATTTTAAACCTTATGGATCACAATCATGTTTGTTAGACCGGAAGAGGGGCTAGTTTGATATAATCAAAGATAAAAGGTTATATACTTGTCCACAATTAGTTAGTTGGTCACGGAAAAAACTATTTTTAAAATAGTAAAAAGCCATCCAAAATAAGCCTTAAAGAAATAAAAAAAAAAAAAAAATGCCCTGTGAGTGGCTCAAAAAGTGATGAAAAATTTCATTCCTGTTTTCTCTCTCTCAACCAGGGTTAACATGAAATGTTGAAATAACGTCTTTATTCTCAAATAATGTCTGTATCCAGAAATAGGAACTCAATTGGCTCTATGAATCAATATAGCTATGTCTCAAAAAATACCAAAGTAAAAAAAAAAGCATGTTTCAGAATTACACTTATAGTGTGACAATGCACCCACATAAGTGGGTCTAAACATAAAGTAACAGAGTACATAGAAATGTATGCAGAAGTATAAAAAGGTCTGCAAGGATAGCTTTGGGGTAGCACAAGAGAGAACCAAAGTTGGATAACAGTTAAAGGGAATTTCGTGTTTTTTAAAGGAGAACGAATTTATAACTTGTATAATTTACCACTAATGAAAAATGCAAAAATAAAGAGAACTACTGCTTGCAAAACAAAAACAAATACCCCAATGAAACTCTATTATATAGTTGCAACTATCAGTATTTTGTGATACAGCAGATGTAATATATATCTCTTATAAATAACAGCAGTACTGAATCATATTGCTGTTTTTCTGTGTTATAATCTTGTGTCTGTGTGCTGCCAAACACAAAATACTCCAAAAAGGTGGAGTTCTAGTTTGTAAAGTGCTTCCAATCACAGTTTCCTCGTGGATAACATAGCTTGTTTCAGTTAATTCCCTAGCATTAATAATTTTAAAATAGTGATGCTTGTAACCTACAAAAATGAGGTCCAATGGTAGATGTGAAGGTTTTTTCTAGAGAAGCTAATTTGGAATAATTTAGTCAAAGGTCCATCTCAAGGGACATTTTGAGGGCTTTACTAATTCCAGGTTGGCATCAATTCATTGTCAATATTGAGTGCCTATTATTTGTAAGGCTAAATATGGCTTAAGCAGACAGGCTTGGCCTCAGAATGTGAAGCAAAAAGGGTAGGTGGTAATATGAGGAGTCAACTCTGTAGTAGTTTAGAGCCTGGGCGGGGTAATCAGACTAACCTGGGTTTCAGTTCCCATTGCACCACTCACTAGCTGTGTAATCTTGTGCAAGCCAAGGGAATATATAATGCTTACTTCACAGAGCTGTCAGGAGGGGAAAATGAGATCATTATAAAGGGTTTGCTGCAGTGCAGGCACATAGTAAGTATTCAATTAATCTTAGCTCCTGTTAATATTTTTTTCTGAGTCCTGATTAAGTTTCAAGACCCTTTCCTTAGAATCATAAAAAAAATCAGAGATTGAAAAGTTATTTGGGGGCCGGCCTGCGGCTCACTCGGGAGAGTGTGTGGTGCTGATAAAATCAAGACCATGGGTTCGGATCCCATATAAAGATGGCCAGTTAGTTCATTGGGTGAGCGTTGTGCTGACAACACCAAGTCAAAGGTTAAGATCCCCTTACCGGTCATCTTTATTAAAAAAAAAAAAAAAAAAAGAAAAGAAAAGTTATTTAATTATCAACACTGTCCTAGGAGATGACTTTCATCACTTTTCTACTGATATTATCCAGGGAATAAATACCATGATTGAACTATTCTAGTTACTGGTGGAATAACAGGAAATAAAATGAGAGGGAAGGAAGGCCAAAGGAAAAGGGAGACTACTGGGAAAGGCATTGGGAGCCTATGAAGAGCACGGCTAAAGAGAGAAAATACAGGGAAGACAAGTAGGTAAAAAAGAGACAGAAAAGATGGCCTTGGACAAGTGTCAGGAGAAAAGTGAGAAAAAGGAAAGGGAAGAAATACAAAGAGACTGAAATTCGTCAATGCAGTCACTGACACAGTTTAAGAACAAAACATTATGGGGTTTGTTCATTGTAAAATGCGTGATTATATGATATATTGCTTAACCTTTCTGATCTCAGTTTTCTTTGGAGTATGTAGTGAAGATTAGATGACATTAGTGGGATGGAAGCTCTGTTAATGAGAAAACTATTCAAAAAAGAGATTAAGAAGTGGAAAGAAAGCTGCAGAAAAAGACAAACGGAAAGAGAGAAAAGTAAAAAGGTGGTTGGGGGGAGAGTGAGAAGGCGAACTGTTGACAAGGTAGGTGAGAACTAAAGAAAACCACAGTAACGATGTCACTGTGGCTACTGCGGTGACTGCTCCAACGAGTGCTGACAACTTGCCGGGTACGTTGTTAGAGCTCTACGTGCAACATTTCACGTTATCTTCACAGCATCTCTATGGGGCTAGGTTCTAGTATTATCCTCATTTTATAGAAGAAATATTTGTAGCATAAAGAGGTTTTGTAACTTTCCCAAGGTCTCACAGCTGGGGAGGGGCCGAGAAGGGATTCAAACGCACGTCTACCTGCAAAGCCAATGATTTTAAGATTATCTCTAAGAACCTCGGAAGAGGCTTGGTGGGTCTAAGGTGGACTCTCGCTCCGGTTCTCCCATGTCATCCCCTCGGTTTAACTCCCGCGGCCAAGCACCTCTCGCCACGCCCTTTTTCTTTCCGGCTGTTTTAAAAGCTCCACCTCTCCACTAACAGCGTCCCGTTTCCATGGAGATCACCGTGGGGCGTGACTTTCTGCCTTACGCGCGAGCACTTCCGCCTCGATCCGGAAGCTCCGTTGCTTTCCGGAAGCTCTGTTAAACGGGTCGTCCTGGTGCGTGGGGACTTGGAGAGTTTGAGTGGCGGGTCCGCGGCGGCAGTGAGATTGACCGGCTCGGGCACCTGCGTCCGGCGCGACGATGCTGACCCCCGCGTTCGACCTTAGCCAGGACCCCGACTTCCTGACCATCGCCATCCGCGTGCCCTACTCCCGGGTCGCCGAGTTCGACGTCTACTTCGAGGGGGTCGATTTCAAGTTCTACGCCAAGCCATACTTTCTCAGGCGAGTTCGGTGTCTGGCCCTGCACAGAGCGTATTTGGGGGATTCATTCATTAGATAACTGCTTGTTGAGGGAGCAGTGCCTGATTTAACGAGTGCCTTTTTCCGAGATTTCCGGAGCTTTCGGTGTGTTCTGGATGCTGCAGAAGTTCATTCCTTCTTAAATCTTCTTAAATCTCACATTAAAGAGATTTCGGTATCACTTTAAAACGTGGTGTTTGGACCGTGTCACTTTTTCAGTTTCTGTCCTGTCGCCCTCGTTCTCGCCTCTTCCTAACTTGTTCTGTTCTTTCCCTTTGCTCCGCGTTCGCTCTCCCAGCCTCTCCCCTGCCCGGGGGCGGCGCGCGCTGACCAACCTCTTGGTTGATCGCTCTCTGCTTCCTGAAATTCTACCCTCCTTGCCTCCCTTGACACCAGGTTAGCCTAGTTCTACCTCCTCGCCATCTGCTACTTCACTGTATGGTTTGGCCTAGGTTATGGTTGCCTCCTGCAGGTTTCAGCGAGGGGCCGTCAGCCCTTGTCTCTTTAGATTTTTCTTCTCGCAGAGCCATAACAGTAGTCACAGCTAACAGTGATCACCTTCAGCGTGTGGGGACAAGCAGTCTATGGGCATTATCTTACTTGGACAGCGATCCTTGGAGATAGGCCCCATTCTCCAGGAGACACTGCCAGATTATTCTTCCTAAAACATTGCCAATCACTTGTTCTGTCCTTTCGGACTAGGTAAAAATCCAGTCTTAGTATTTCTCAAGTGTGACTCCAGCTTACTTTTCTTGCCCAAGTACTTTTATAATATAAACCTTCCCCTCCAGTCACTCTGGTTCGTTCGCTGTGCATGAACCAGTTTTGCTCAAATTTCCATTAGACCCTAATTTAACCTACCTATTTGAGTATACTGTGCTTTCCTGTTTCTTTATTCATTTATTCCTTTAATTTATTTATTGGGCTTCGGTGTTGGGATTATAGTCCTGAAAAGACAAAGTCCTGCCCTCCTGTAGTTTACATGCTAGTGGGGAGAGAAAAACAATGAACTAACAATTTAACTACACATTGTGGTAAGAGATATGAAGAGAAAGGAGTGCACTGATAGAGAATAAAAAGGCACCCATATTTATACAAAGGAGGCAGAGACAGCCTTTCTGAAGAAAGAATATTTAAACCAAGACATGAAGAATAGGAAAAAGGTGATGGCGGTAGCAAACATTTATTGAATTTTTACTCGAGGCTAGTGCTTTATGTGGATTATATTTGATGTTAGGATAGTCCTCCAAACTAGGTTTTATTATTTACCCATTGCTGTGGACTGAATATTTCTGTCCTCCCAAAATTCATATGTTGAAGCCCTAATTTCCAATATGATGGTATTTGGAGATGGGGCCTTTGGGAAGTAATTAAGTTTAGATGGGGTCAAGAGGGCACAGCCCTCGTGATGAGATTAGTGCCCTTATCAGAAGAGGAAGAGACCAGAGCCCCCTCTCTCTCTACCAAGTGATGATACAGCAAGAAGTTCTGCAAATCAGGAAGAGGGTACTCACCAGACACTGAATCTGCCAGCACCTTGATCTTGGACTTTCAGCCTGCAGAACTTTGAGAAATAAACGTTTGTTGTTTAAGCCACCCAATCTGTGGTATTTTTATTATAGCAGCCCAAACTCACTAAGAAACCCGTGTTACAAATGAGGGATCAGAGGCTCAGAGAGAAGTTCTTAAGAATAGCCTATTGTCTACTTTCCTTCTCACTATATAATAAAAATGTAAAATGAAATAGGATTGTAAAATAAAATAAATCCAGTAAAATAAAAGTTTTAAGGTGAAAACCATTTTGCTTAAGTCTGAATTGAAGAAGACAAAATAAGAGGATACTTGTAAAACAATTGAAGTACTGTTCTTAGGGTAGCAGAAGCTTGGGATTGAGCACTCAGCACACTTGCAGTTCTGTGACTTTGGGCGAGATGCCCAGTTTCAGTCATGTAATATGTAGAATGGGACTAATATTAATGAACTTAAAGAATGATGTGAGGGGGCCGGCCCGGTGGCGCACTGGATAGTGCGCCGCTTGGGAAGCGCGGCGGCGCTCCCGCCCGAGGGTTCGGATCCCACATACAGACTGGTACCCGCTCACTGGCTGAGCGAGGCGCGGGGGCAACACCGAGGGTTGCGATCCGTTGCCGGACACGGGGGACAAAAAAAAAAAAAGAATGATGTGAGGGGGCCGGCCCGGTGGCGCACTGGATAGTGCGCCGCTTGGGAAGCGCGGCGGCGCTCCCGCCCGAGGGTTCGGATCCCACATACAGACTGGTACCCGCTCACTGGCTGAGCGAGGCGCGGGGGCAACACCGAGGGTTGCGATCCGTTGCCGGACACGGGGGGAAAAAAAAAAAAAAGAATGATGTGAGGATTGAGATAATGCATGCAAAGTGCTTATTACCATGCCTGATAATTAATTATGTGTTCAATAAATCGTAGATGCTATGAGGGTACTTCACAAAGTTTGTGGAAAAATAAAACTAAAAGGTATACAAATCTTTCCACAAACTTTTCGAAGACGCCTTATATTATTTGAGGGCCTAAGGTGCCAGTTATCTAGTACTGGATATCCAGTGAAACATGATGGTGTAAAACAACAACAGTCATTTTATTTTCTGACCTGGTTTCTGTGGGTAAGGAATTCAGTAAGAGCTTGGCTGGGCTGTTCTGGCTTGGTTTTTAATGCCATTGTGGTCAGAAGGTGGCTGGTCCTGGAATACAGAATAGTAAGGGCTGAAGCAGCTAGAAGCTGTGGGGCATATTTCTTCATGTAGTCTTAGGGCCTCTGTCTGTGGTCTCTTTACATGGTCTAGTTTGTTTCCTCAGGGGAGTTGGACCACTAATGTAGTGGCTGAAGTTTTCAAAACCAAGTATTCCAGCAAGCAAGTTAGAATCCATATCACCTCCCTCCCTTAATTTCTTTAATATAAATATAAGTGTTTAAAGCCAGAATTATAACTATGCATCATGGAGTTAATAATGTATATAGTTGTGTGTGTATATATATATATGACAACTTAGCATAAAGGCATATCACCTTTATATATATATATATATATATATGACAACTTAGCATAAAGGCATATCACCTTTTATGACCTACCTTCAGAAAGCACATAGTGTCATTTCTGCTTTATTGTATTAACCAAAATAGCCTCCAGAAGCCTGCTGAATTTTAAGGGAGGGGGCATAGACCCCATGGTGGGGAGGAGTGATGTGAGATGGGCAGTTTTTGAAAATGCAATTTGCTACAGTATATTAAGGATGAATAAAACCTGGTTCTTCTCCTTGAGGAATTGAGAGTCTTGGAAGCCTGCTGAATTTTAAGGGAGGGGGCATAGACCCCATGGTGGGGAGGAGTGATGTGAGATGGGCAGTTTTTGAAAATGCAGTTTGCTACAGTATATTAAGGATGAATAAAACCTGGTTCTTCTCCTTGAGGAATTGAGAGTCTAGCCAGGGAGATAGATCTGTAAACAAATATGATTTTACTCCTATGCAGTAAGAGTTTAACTCTACATCTATCAAGAGTTTAGGAGAAGAGAGTTGGTAATAATCTCCTTTTCTGAATGTTCATCTATACTATGCCAGCCATTAAGCTCTTTGCATCACCATTTCGTTCTCACAGTAACCCTTGGATAGTAGTTATTTCCCTCTTTTTACAGACAAGGTAGTATGTAATTCTTGAAGTTTATTAACTTGTCTAAAGAAGGTTATATACCTGGTAAATGGCAGAGTTAGGACTTCATTCAGATTCTGACACAAAAGTTAGTGTTTGTAACCTTTATAACAAACTAATTAATTCATAAGCTGACTCCTTATTCTGTGCTTAGAAGGAATCTTAGTTCTGAAAATGCATTGTAGCTGGAGGAAACTTTGGGATCAGAGGCAACTAAATTGTGAAGCTCTGGACTTTTTTGAGTCTGCCAAGTTTTATTTTATTTTTTTTGTTTTTCATTGTATTTAGTAAGAAGCAAGGGGGAGGAGCGTAGGAGGAAAGGGGGCTCAAATTTTATGTTTCAAGTGGTCGGAGTGGGTCTGACCAATGAGTTTAAATTATCTAGTAGGTGTCCGGTAGCCATCAAAGCTTTTTCAAATAGAAAAATGACAATCAGATTTCTGTTTTAGAATAAATCTTTTGGGGCCTGATTGAACCAGGGTAAAATTGGAAACAGGGAAATTGTTCATTTTTTTAGTACAAAAGAGGGGGAAATCCCCATTTAGTAATAATGAGATTTGAGAAAAACACTTTTGCTTTCTGCTTTTTTTAAAGGCAATAATTGTCCTGATATTAACAATTGGTTTTGTTGTTTCTTTCCCATTTTCTGGCCTTTTTTTTCTTTTTTTGGAAGCCAATTAGTGTAATTTTATTGAGCACCTGCCTGTGTCAGGCACTAGGTATATAAATAACTCTTATTCATTAAGAATGGGAAAGTACTGTAATGGTAATGATAACTAATATTTATCGTGGCCTTTCTTTTTCAGTATATTTTATTGGTGATGCATTCAAATAGGAAGATGAGTCATCTCTAATTTCTTCTTTCTTAGTTGGGGAAGGAATCTAAGTCATTTAGTTTGTAAAATGTGAAAGAAATGCTGAGGAATTTCCTTTTAAAATGGTTAATAGATTTTAGTGGATAAATGTAAACCATTGTTGATGGCTAATTATGTTGGTTATAATTTAAGGATTTCATGAGACCTTGTGTTAAATCTGCAGATTAACTCTTCCTGGAAGAATTGTAGAAAATGGAAATGAACAAGGGTCCTATGATGCAGATAAAGGTATTGCTTTTGGAATTTTTGCTAGTTTTTTTCTCTGGGTTCTTCATGTTAGAATATCTACATAATTATCTTTTAAGATACTATAGGGACCTTTAGATGTTCTGCACCTGCAATCAGTTCCTGTCACTCTTTCTTGTTTCTTAATGTTCAGTGCCTGTTATTTGTGGATTTTTTGACAATTACAGTTTCCTCAGTCCTTTAAAGTATTTCACAATATTCTTCAAAGTGAAATTAAATTAGTTAAATACTCTGGTTCTATTTTCTAGAGGCACATCCCCTATATTTAGTAGGTGTTTAAAAAGTAAAAATTAGCAGGTGTGAGGCAATCGATTATAAAAGATGTAGATGATTTATAAGCTTTTGAATGGAATCTTTCTTGTAAAATTCTCAAACTTGAATTTTAATAATAAGTAGGTAGGTAATAGAGAAACTATCCATGGGTGGCATTTAAGGGCTAATTGAATTTTCTTCTCGTGATTGATAAGCCCCTTGTTTCAGCTAGCCATGAAACCATTTATTTTCCTTTGATAGAAGCCACTGGTATTCCCTTTATCATTGCATCTGGAATAAGAATACCTTGTGTGCTCTCGTGTAATTTATTCAATGAATATTTATTGATTTCATTGAACTAAGGTGAGGGAAGGGGGGTGAGATAAAGAGTTAAAGGACAAAGTTCTAACTCATAATGCAGTGTAATTAATGTGATAATGAAGTATAATGAAACTGCCTTCCTAGGTAGTAACTCTGCTTTTAATTGCAGATAGGTTGCATATTGAAACAAAGTTATTAAATTTTAAAAGTGCACAGGAGTTTGGGAAGATTGTGTATGTGGAAATATTTGGGTTGAGTTGCATTTGATATACTGGAATACAGTTCGGTACACTTGAAAGAGGTAAAATGTTTTAAAATGTAAGAGTGGTAAATACTGTAATAAGTTCATAGGGGAGCCTAGATGAGGTTGATAAACCCAGTCAAGGAAAGAAAAGAAGTACATAGGTAGAATTTGAGTCAGTCGTAGACTTTGGGGATGTACATATCTCTTGCGATATCAAAGAAACCTTATTAAGCCATAATTGCTTTATTTAAGACTTTGCATATTTTTAAAACTGCTGCTATGCTCCACTGGATTAAGTATCCTGATTTTTTTTTTTTTTCTGGTTGAGATATAGATAACTATCGGTTGATTCTAAGCTATTACCTTCTCAGGCAATTGAGTTTTAGAAGTTTTGATTTGGATTTTTAGTATTTTCAATAGGTTAAGGTGGTACTGTGTAAGATTAAAGCATTCTGTAGCTTTAACAGATTAATTTCTTATAGAAGTGACAACTTTTGAAAAACCCTGTATGAGCCTTTTTCTGTCTTGATAGTTTCTGAAAAACCCTGTTTGAGCCTTTTTCTATCTTGATTTATTTTCAATAAATCTGTAAAAAGGGCATAATTTTAGAGCTCATATAGAGTTTTACCAAGACAGATATTTCTTAGATATATTTGTGAAGTCTTTGAATATTTTAATCTATCTCTCTAAACATAGAACAAATTTATCTTTAAGGAATTTTTACCATTCGATTGCCCAAAGAAACTCCTGGCCAGCATTTTGAAGGGCTGAACATGATAACTGCTCTTCTGGCACCAAGAAAATCCAGGACAGCAAAACCACTTGTGGAAGAAATAGGTATGTATATTGCAGTTTGGAGGAAATAAAGGCAAATAGAAATATTGGCTTGCTGTGTGTTTCTAGGGGAAATAGGATATAGGGAATAGGATACTGGAGAAAATACTTCAAGATAAGATGATCATGTGAAAACATGTAAAAACAGTTCATTTGGTGATATAATTAAAAGACATAAAGAACCTGTAGATTAGTCATATTTTTGGACAATTGAAGCAGCATCTTCTCTTTGGCAAAATATTAGCCTCTTGAGCTAAGATCATAAGTGTACAGTTCAATGAGTTACATAAAGCGAACACCACCTAAGTCAAGAGTTGGAACATTTCCAGTGCCCTGGAATCCCACCCTGTGTCTCTTCCCAGTTATTTTGCCCTGTCTCCTCTTCAAGGTAACCACTATCCTCCATTTTGCCTGTTGTTGAATTGCATATGTAATTCATACAGTGTGTGTTCTTTTTAGTCTGGCTTCTTTCACTTAAAAAAAGTTTTTTTGTAAGATTTATCTATATCGTAGCTGAGGTCCATTTACTTTCATTGCTATATAATATGCCATTGTATGAATATACCACATTTATTTATAGCTCCTACTGTTGATGGACATTTGCGTTGGTTCCTTATTGTTTTGGGCCATCATGAATAGTGGAGCTATGAATATTCATGCACATGTCTTTTGGTGCACTCGTGCAGGCATTTTTTTGTGTACTTTTTCTTCCCTTAATTTTACCTAGGAAATCTAATACCTTTTTAAAAAATTAATAATTAACACATTTAGGCACTTCTGAGGTTTCTGAGGAGGTAGTAGAAGATGACGATGAAGAGTTTGATTGGGAAATTGAACAGATCCCCTATGAAGAGTCATCAGAAAGTGCTTTGAATCCACAGTGCCACTATGGATTTGGAAACTTACGATCAGGAGTAGTTCAGCGGTTACAGGTATGTTGTCTTTCTGAAAGATCTTGTTATATAGGGTTTACCCTTTTGGATATTTTAATTTCAGTTCTGCTTACACTTGGTGGTTTTTAATAAAGATTATAGAAGGTGATGTATTTAGAGCACATGGCATACCTCCTTGCACATAATCATCACACAGATGTTCATTCCCTTCCGTTTTGCTGGCTGCTCTACCCAGTCTTACTGCTCTTACAGATGTCCCGTTGTTTTATTTTTTCTCCCCTTCATCAGTATTCTAGACATGAAGTTTCCAGAATACAAAATGGAACCCCCCTCTCCTTGTGTTCCTGGAAAGTTTATGTTTTGTACTTACGACAAATGTAGATCATGTACTTATGGCATGATGTATCTTCTGTTTTACATATAAATGAAACGAAATTTTCCTGGTGAGAATGAGATTGTATGTTTTGATCAGATTGTTTCCTGGTATACAATAGGCACTATTATCTGTTTTTTTCTTGATGGAGGTTGAGTGTAATCTCTCACTAAAACCTGATGATTTGTCAATTAGGCTAAAAAAGCATAATATTACTTTCTCTTCCTCAAACAACATAGGAAATTCTACATTTTAGGTAATGTGGGGAGATTGAAATGAGTGAAATGAGAAGAGAAATTTCAGATTATTTTGTACATAGGATGTTTTGTAGAGAACGTATCCCCTGGAATATTACTTGATGTAAGGGTGAAGCACTGACTTGGATTCTTAAACTTTTTTTAGTGAAAGAAACAGGGATTAGCCTTTTCTTTTATTTTATCTGTGATTGAGTAGAGGATGTTAAACCTTTTTAAAATGTGATTTATTATAGTAAGACGTTTGAATTATACCAAGGAAAGGTGAAAGACCTAGGTTCTGGTCCCACTTCAACCTCCATTTAGATTTGGGACACCAGGCCAATTATTTGACTGCAAAATTTTGTCTTCTCTTTGTAAAGTTCAGATGTTTGCTCACCTACTTTATAATGCTATTTTGAAAATTTAAGGAGATATTGCATATGAAAACTCTTTGGAAAGTATAGAATGCTGTAAAAATCCTGCCCTTGAAAAATATAAAATATTCTCAGTATTCCTTAAAAAGAGCAAAACTGGGATTTACTTAGGAACAAATAATGCTGATGAAATATTTCCTTCTGAAAACTTAGATGTTTTTCTGCTGGATTATGGTCTGCCCATTTTCTCTCTGATCGTATTCCCTGGTGATCTCTGAGGTAGTTAGAATAGAGTCAGTTTTGTCTACAGCTGGAATACAGTGAATGGACCTCAGTTGTTTGGCCAAGAGCTAGTTTGTGGTCAGTCTGTTTTGGGCTTGCCAGTCTAAATCTATAAAAGAATGGTGGTAAGTGTCACACAGGCTAAGTACAGATTGTACATTCAGACTAAAAGTGCTTCCTGAGGTCAGGGAACCTGATTTCTTAATTGCTGCTGCTGTTTAAGGAAGATCCTTTTGAGGGATGTGTGACAGGTTGCTGAGATGATGCGGGAGTGCCATAATGTGAGCCTAGGCCAAGTCCCTTTAGGTCAGAAATTCTTGTAATTCAATGCACATTGCTTTTTTAAAGAATTTGAATGCATATTCCACCAAGAACAAATAAGCTGAACATGTGAGAAAACTCTGAGGGTTTTGTAATGTAAATAGTACACTGCTAATAGTACAGTTTTATAACCCCATGTGTGCAATGCTGGGATCACAAAAAGATCTAAAAACTAAAAGTTTTTTTAACTTCAATTTGGTGGCAAAATCTGATCTTAACTGATATGTTTTTAATAGTTATTTTTTAAATCCCACTTAGTGTACACATTCAAAAGTTTTGCTGTAGAGACAGTAATGCATTTCAATATGGGGTGCTACCCTATACTTCTTAGAGGGGGTTAAATAAAATGCAGTGTGTGTACCATATTACCTTTCTAAACTCTGCAAGTGTCTGAATCTTCAAGCTCGGCTTGCTCCAGGGGATTTGAATAGCACTGTGCCGAGACCCTTGTGTGCATCACCTCAACATTACTGTTTCCTCATGGCATCATGACTATTGTATGCGCACGTTTTTCCAGTTGTCAAACAGCCCTGGCTGCTCAAAGTCGGCTTCACAACAAGCTTCTGGCAGCACTGGTAGCTGCCAGCAGCAGCAATCCTAGAGTCTCTGGGCACCAACCCAACAAGCTCCTGAGACCACTGCTGCCAGCAGCCTCAGGACACCAGGCTTGCTGGCCTTCTCCTTCCCTTGGCTGTACCAGGGGACCTGCAGGGGACTCAGTGGCCAAATGTGCACACCATTCTTCATTTTCTCTGTGGGTTTTCTCTGCCTTATCTATGCCTAAACTTATATAAGTCTGATTTAAATCCTACATGACCTTTTCTTGACCATGCCATCTTTAAATAGCTCTAATAACTATCGGCCATCATGAGTCTTTAAAAAAAAGAAGAAAATACTTGTCTTCCCGTTGTAGTTTAACAATTCTCATCCTGTTTTCTTCCTTCCCTTTGGTTGATTGATGCCTTAGATTTCTATACCCCAGCTAACTTTGCTTTTTAGTTTGTTTCAGTTTCTCTTTAGGGTACAGTGTGAACAGGTCCTCTGCGTGTGACTGCATAGAAAAAGCCTGGGTGGGGTGTGTGCTGCTGTGTACATTCATTTTCTGCTGTGTGCATGTTGTGTGACTGTACATGGAGGTCTTCAGTCTGGAGGCCAAGGGGAAGAGGAGGGAGAAAGGAAAGAGGGCTGTTTTCTTGTTTGCCAGTTCTGATTCCCACGAGAGCAGGAACCTTTTCTCTGTTTATTACTGGATCTCTACTCTAGCACCCAGAACAGTGCCTATCCCATAGCAGGCCCTCAAGCACAATTTACTGAATGAATGATTTGATACTGAATGCCAGGCACAGTGCTGGGGATGCAGTGAAGAAGAGGAAAGATGAGCCCTCTGCCCACATGGAGCATTCCGGGGGGAAGGTAGTGATCATGTCAACAGCAAATAAACAAGATAATGACAGATAGTGGCAGCTGAAGGAAAAGGATGGGGTGATATGTGAGACTGGGGGATACTACATTGGCCAAGGTGCCTGGAGAAGGCCCCTTTGAGGAGGTGATGTTTGCACTGAGTTCTGAATGATTAGAAGGGTACTGTAAATGCAAAGGCTCAGAGTTGGGACTGAATTGGCATGTTCCAGAAATGGAAAGAAGTCTAGTGTGTGGTGGCTTGAGCATATTCAAGCCAGAAGGGGAGGGTAGACATGAGGCTGAAGAGCAGGACAGGCTGATTGTGCAGAGCTCTGGTAAGAGTCTGGGTTTATTCTCAGTCCAGTTCGTGTTTTGAAATCCCTGGGGTTATGTCAGTCCTTTTATCCTCCGAAATGTAGAGTAATCTACAAAGACCACAGATTATACTGCCTTTATGACCTTATATCTGGTCCAGGTGAAATAATGAAGCAAAACATTTTACTCCTTCCCTTTTTTTAAATTGTGGCTAGCAAGTGAGGACACTGAAGCTGAGGGAGGATATGTACTCTCAGTAGGAGGTTAACCAGTGAGTAACAAGGACCGGCAGTGGAATAGGGAGATAGAGAGAAAGGAAGTCAACATTATTGAATGTGTTAAGCCCTGTGCTTGGCACTCGACTTGTATTATCTCATTTAATCCTCACAGCAGCCTGTGGCACAGAATGATGTTCCCTTCCACCCCCCAAAGATGTCCTCGTGCTTATCCCTAGAACCTGTGAATGTGTTACATTATATGCAAAAGGTACTTTGCAAATGTAAGTTAAAGATCTTGAGATGGGGAAGGTAGCCTGGATTATCCAGGTGGGCCCATCTAATCACGAGGTCCTTATAAGAGAGGGGGGAAGTAAGAGGGTCAAAGTGAAAAAAAAGAAGGCCATGTGATGATAGAAGCCAAGGGAGAACAGCATTGTGATGTGGGGCTACAAACCAAGGGATGAGGACAACCTCTGAAATGGAAAGGGTAAAGAAACAGATTCTTCCCTAGAACCTCTAGAAAGAAGCGCAGCCCAGCTGTCATTTTGATTTTAGCCCAGTGAGGCTGATTTAGGGCTTCTGACTTACAGAACTGTAAGATAATAAATTTGTGTCGTATTAAGCCACCACATTTGTGTTAACTTGTTACAGCAAAGGAACCAAGAGGAAACCCAGGGCTATGACTGAGGTGTCACTAGACTCATGTTACAGTGAGGAAGCAGAGGTTCAGAGGGGCTGCACGATTAGATCGTCGCTGGGATTTAGATCCTGGTTTGTCAAATTCCAAAGTCACCCTTTCTGCTTCATCGCACAGCTTTCAGAAGTTTTTTGGGGGGGGTGGGGGGGAGTTGTGGAGTGTGCGGACTAGGGAGGAAAGAAAGGGGGTAACTCCAGGTTTCTGGGGAGAGAGACTTGGGGTCTCTTGGCAGGAAATGGCTCTCATAATATTCACTTAGCTGAGGCAAGTCCTGTGGATACATTACAACATGCCCCCACCCACGCCTGCCTGCATGAGAGTGCTTCCCAGCCCTGTGGCTGGAGGAGCTGATTTCAGGCAGGTGAGAAAGTGGAGGAAGACAGGAAGGATCGAGGTCGCACTGCTCGGGAAGAGATGTTTCTGGTAGATTCAGTGGAACTCTGAAAGTATTTTCCCATGGAAACATTGCTGCCTGCTTGTTAAGCTCTTTGTATCATGAATACTCTGTTTCAAGTTTATAATGAATTGCTGAACTTGCACGCTGCCCTGAGAATCTACCTACTCTTTATAATAGTATTTTTATAGGAAAATAACATTCCTAAGTCTCTAGAAAGTAAATTGCAAAGGAACTTTTGGAATGCAGATTTCTGTAAGTTTGGGGGCAGCCAGTAATCTGTTTTTTGCCCAGAATGTTTGTACTTGGAACTATTACGATGTTCTGGATGTTCCAGTAACATCCAAAAAGGTCTCTGGACCCTTTCATTGTGCAGAATGTGCTTAGATTAAATATTGTTGATTTCCCTTGAACTAAATGAATTGTGGTAGAGATGAGTTTTGTTTTTTATTATGCGGAAATTTTGATTGTGTGGGGAGGCTGTATTTTAGTTTTTCCCTTACTAATTCAGCATAGCTCACTTTCACTGTAGTGATTTTGCATTACAGCCATTGACTTTTAAACCAGCCTGTTAGGCACTCACCTGTAATCTAGTAATCTATTTACATCTTGACTTAACAGTTTGCCTCTACAGCTCTCTACCAAGTTATTTCCCTTGATTTCTTGTCAGCTAATACTCTTATAATCTTCTCCCAGTTTCTGTACTTCTCACTTGGGGTTGGTAGTAGGAGAGGGGAGGTTGAAAGAAAAAGGCACAGTTTAAAGAATATTTTGCGTCGTATAAGGTTTCTTTACTTTACAATTCTGATGGAAAGGATAAAGACCATATATGGCACTATATGCCATATACTAGGCATATACATATATGCCATATACAAGGCAGTTTTCCAAATACTGTACATCTGTAGGATTCAGCTTGGGAAACATGCTACATACATATCAACATGTATACATCTAGGTAAATTCAATTACAGTAAAGTTGATTCTTACTTACAATTAGATTTTAAAATTTTCAAATGGAAAGTCATATCCCTAATAGCCAGTAAAAATTCTTAAATCTCATAAAGTAGAATGTACAGAGTTTTGTGTATATAGTCTTATATGGTAATTCTTCTTTGAGACCTGCTGAGCCAGAATATAGGAAGAAAAGTCGATGTGTGGATGTCTGATATTCAAACCACTCTACTTTTAATAACTTTCAGATCTGTAAGGGCAAATGGATGGAGAATTAAATGTTTTGCTTACGTGCAGGGGTTTATTCCATTTTGGTTTTTTATGTTAAACTTTTATAGCCCTAATGTAAAATTGTAAGTTTGCTTGTTATAAGGGTTAAATGAAATCATTTATATGAAAGATTTCAACAGGGCCTAGCAAGTAGTATATGCTTAACAAGCATTGCTGGATTCTTTTTTTTTTTTTCCTTTTTGTCTTTTTTACTGACCGGTAACGGGATCGCAACCCTCGGCGCTGCGCCCACACCATGCTCAGCCAGTGAGCGGGAACCGGTCTTCACGTGGGATCCGAACCCTCGGCGGGAGCTCCCAAGCGGCACACTCTCCAGTGCGCCACCGGGCCGGCCCATTGCTGGATTCTAACCTATATGTCACAGGTGCAGGCTGGCCCGTGGCTCACTCGGGAGAGTGCGGTGCTGATATCACCAAGGCCACGGGTTTGGATCCTATATAGGGATGGCCGGTTAGCTCACTGGTTGAGCGTGGTGCTGAAAACACCAAGCTAAGGGTTAAGGTCCCCTTACCGGTCATCTTTTAAAAAATAAAAAGTCACAGGTGCTATCATAGTTTACGGATCAGTTAGCTTCATTCCATGCTTTGGCATTTTGTGCAAAATTTGATTTTTAAATGCTAAAATAGGAGATAGCAATTATTCTTTCTTTTCCGAATGTTCTTAGGATGAATTGAGTGATGTTATTGATATTAAGGATCCAGATTTCACTCCTGCAGCTGAACGAAGGCAGAAACGCCTGGCTGCTGAGCTGGCCAAATTTGATCCTGATCATTATCTGTGAGTACTGAGTTTTTTGAGGATTAAATTATTTACTTGACATTTATTTTTAAAATGCTTGTCTTTTTAAATGTGCTAGGCATGCACATTTTGGATCCTAGAAATTAATGATGGCTCAAAACCTTAACTGACATTTGACTTAACTTGTAGATGTTGTACCTCTGTGACCTTTGAAGGATGTTGCATTTTAGCTGTTCGTCCTAGCAACAGAGAACTCTTCCAACATACCTACTTTAATTTTTTCTTGCCAGGCTTAATAATGGAATGGTGAATTCATGAGAATATTTGCACTTCCTTCAAGTAGACTTTTTGTTGTTATTAATGGTATACATAAATAAAGATATGTTTCAGTTTCCTTAAGAATGTGAATCTATACATGCCTTATTTCTTGGCTGATCCAAGGTCTTCCTAACGCTTTCATCTGCTGGTACCTGTAATCAACGATCTGTTTCAAGTGAACGCGTAATTATTCTTTGTGGTAGAGTATAAATAGAATCTAATTTTAAGCTTTGCTGTATTTCCCACTGGCATTAATTGTGTCTTTAGCCATAATGGGCTTATATTCGTCTTTGCATAAGGAACTTTTGTAATTAATGCATAGATAAATGATCACTTGAGAGATTGTAATGTCTCTCATTGGCTAGATAGCAGCACTTCTTCCAAGGATTGTCACCTGGAGTCTCTGGATACTTGCCTCTCTTAGGATGGTGGTTATGTGGATGCAGAACTTAATTATTATTCTTCCTATGCTCTGAGACAACAATTTCTAAACTTACATATGCGACTATAATCATATCCACTTACATTTGTATTGTGCTTTCAGCTTACCAAGTGCTCTCATGTGATTGTTTAATTCCGTTTTCACAATAAATGTGGAAAGGAGGTTAAGGGACTTGGCCAAGGTCACACTACTACTCAGTGGCTTGGCCAGGACTTGAAAAGTCTCTCCATTTGTCATTTTGTATTTTCTTTTCATGTACATTCTTTCAGTTTAATTGCTGTTGCTCTTGTGATTAACATTCTGTCTCCTGTGACATAGTAGGACACTAATTAGAATGGCAGAAGTATATCTTGTAATGTGTAAATGGAATGAGTGATGGGTAATGATAAATGGTCAAAGTATTCAACATCCTAAGGGAAACTGGGTAGGAGCAGGGTATGTTATATTTTGGAGGACATCTGAGAGACTCAACTCCATTTACAATGCCATTTCTAATTACCTTTATCTTTCCAATTGTGATTTTAAAGGTCCACTGAAGAGTATTTCGAAGAAACCCATTTAAAATCATGCTGAATATTTAAAGTGGAAATTTCATTGTCAGCAAATTTCTCAGGCTAGCCTGAAAACAGAATGAGCTTTACAAGACTGAAATTTCAAGTGGGAGGGAGCTTAATTAGAACTGTCTATCTCTTCTAAAACTAGAATAACTCTATGGCCTGAGAGAATTAGGAAATTGGAATTTACAGTTAGCAGTGTGATATTATAAGCAGCCCTTATTTTTCTCCAACTTCTGTGTTTCTTTATCCAGAAGCTCATTTTCTTTAATAATATGCATGGAATGTTCTTTTCATTTCTCAAGGAATAGTTGTTCTTACAGGAGAGGTTTAAATTTAGTTATAGGCTAAGTCAGGAGAGTGGCAGTCCTGAGGTAAAGGTTCTTTGTGACTTTTCTCATAGCAATAAGACTTTGGCTCATTATAATTTTTGTGTTACTCATTACTTGTTATTTATATTAGCTGACTAACTCACTCAAAAGTATTCATATTAACTGAAACACAAGTAAACTTGTTTTATTAAATTTTCTATTAAAATTTTTTTAGCACAGTGGCTTTTTGTTAGTGGTAATTACATTGGAAAAGAAAGGCTCACTTTAAATTCTTTACTATGCAGATAATACATTGTATAATATTACATACTTACATATGTAAATGTAATATACACATGTGATTATGTAATTATATAATATATAATACATTAGTATAATGTATTACCTATTTTTAAGTTGTTTGGTTTGTCCTTTCAAGTAATGACGTTTCCTTATGTTGTCAGGTTTTTTTATGGGCTGGAGAAAAGCTAATTTTAATTTCAACCTAAGCAGAACACAGTGAGGTTAATTGATTGTAAAGGAAAATTTATGCATTTCAAAGGCACATATAAGTGACTTTGGGTTATTATTATTATTTTAAAAATCCTTTGTTGTAAAATCTGGATGTCAGTGTGATGTAATTTATTTTGTTTTGGTATGTTTTTAGCCCTCCCAGTGCTGGATATATAATAGGTAATCCATAAACATTTATTGTTTTTGGTTATCCGGTTTTTGCCATTTATAATTCCTTCTGGATATTTTTACATTAAAATATGTTGACGACATCTTGAAGCATTCCTTAATAGTCCTTCCTGTTTTGTCGTTATAGCCAAATTTTCATAGTTCTCTTGCTGAGGGTGTTGGTTTCTTTCCTTCCCAAATTGTATTTTAATTGTTGGCATATTTTTTTATCTTCACCAATTCGGAAAAACTCACCTATTTCTTTATTTGAGAGAAAACAGTGGAAGAATTTAGTCAACATTCTAAATACCTGTGAGATAAGAAAAGGGACAAAAGTGATCTTATACCATTTGGGGTGCCATTTTAAATCGTAATTTTTTGTTTCTCTAAATTTGTTAAAGAAGATGGTATACTGATGAGGCTTTTGGATTTATTGAGTAGATCTCAAGACAGGTAGTAATTGGGAGTCTAGGACGTGGATCCTGTGCTTCTAAGGTGGCTCTATATTCAAAACACCAAGCTTAGGAAAAACATTAGAGTAAAATTTTATGTATTTGTTCTTCCACTTATGTATTGTTCAACAAATATTTGTTTGAATAGACTATGTGCCAGGCAGTGTTGCAGACACCAAGGATACCATGGTGAATATGGTAAGGTCTCTGCACTCATGGGGCTTACATTCTAGTGGGGGAGGTAGACACTTACGTCTGTTGTGATAAATGACATGAAGAAAAAGCAGATTAAAGGTTTAATTAAGGAGTGACTGGGCTTCCCACTGACTCCTCTGTTTCAACATGTCCAAAATTGAACTCATCACTTTACCTGTAAAGTCTTCCTGAATTTTCTAACTTTGCCTGAGTGCTCCATTTTTTACTCCAGCCAGCCAGGTTAGAAAGCTGGAATTCATCTTCGACTTCTTCACATTCTACACATTCAGTCAACCCTGAGGTTGTACCATTTATCTCTGTATTATTTCCCTCACTCCATCTACTTCTGGCCCTCATCTGTGTCTGGCTTATTGCAGCACTCACCTAAATGTGTAACTGGCATTTCTTTTTTTTTTTTTGTCTTTTTCCGTGTCCGGCAACGGATCGCAACCCTCAGTGTCGCCCCCGTACCGGACTGGGACCAGCAACGGGATCGCAACCCTCGGTGTTGCTCCCG